AGTATGATTTAATTCTCTCAAAGTCATTTCTACACGCTTGGTCCCATTTTAAAGGGACACCTTTCTTCATAAGGCAACTGAATAGTTGGTACCTCCCAGCTATGTTTGAGATGAATCTCCTAAGGTACGTTGATTTTCCTTGCAGACTTTTCAATTCATCAATATCCCAAGGCTCATGCATTTTCAAAATGGCATCCACATTGGCTTGATCAATTTCTATCCCTCTATGTAGGACAATGAAACCAAGAAACTTTCCATAAGTAACTCCAAAGGCACATCTCAATGGATTCATCCTAAGTTAGTACCTCTGGAGCAACTCGAACACCATTCTCAAGTCTTTCAAGTGGTCGCTCTTCTTTCTTGATTTTATCACCAAGTCGTCAACATAGAATCCTATATTCTTGTGCAGAAAATCATCAAAAATATTATGCATAGCCCTTTGGTAAGTAGCACCAGCATTTTTCAAGACAAAAAGGCATTACCTTGTAGAAATAGATGCCCTTGGGGGTACAGAATGCAGTAATTTCTTCATATTTTGGCGCCATGCGCATTTGGTTATATCCCGATGAACCGTCCATAAATGACATTACCTCATACCCAGTAGTAGCATCGATCATCAGCTCTGTAATAGGAAGTGGGAATTCATCTTTGGGACACGCATTGTTGAGATCCCTGAAGATGACGCACACTCGAATCTGGCCATTCTTCTTCCTTTCAGGGACAATACCTAAAACCCACGCTGGGTATTTAACTTCCCGAATAAATCCAGCTTAAATCTGTTTGTTAACTTCGGTTTCAATTAGGGGAACCAAGTCCGGCGTAAAGCGCCTTTAAGATTGCTTAATAGGATGAGCGCCATTCTTGACCGCAAGGTGATGGACTTCTACTTTATGGTCCAAGCCAGGCATTTCTTTATAACTCCAAAAAAGACATCCCTAAACTCCTTGAGTAACTCAATATAAGTGTTTTCTTCATCAACTTCTAGTAAAGCACTTAGGTAGGCGGGTCTTGGTTCTTCATCAGTGCCAAGGTTAACTTCTTTTAAGGTATCAATCGTTGCCTTCATCCCTTATTCAAGTTCCGACGGAGCATCGTTTGCATATTTATCTTCTTGAGGGTCCCCATCGTTAAAGGATATGTGATATCATGGTGAAACATCCTCCAATTCTGCATTATCCTCCATTGAATATGGAACATCATTCTCGCCTTGTACAGTAACATGATACGCAGAACCCACACTTTCTTCATCTTCGTATCGTTCCTTAGTGTAGAAGACAGTATATGGCTTTACCTTCAGCACTTCTTTACATGAAACCATAAGTTTTGTTTGTCGCCTCATTCTAGAAGGAACCAAAATTTGGAAATCCTTAGAGATCTTCGGGATTTGGGGTGAAGCGGGTGTTCTTATGCTTTGAAAATTTCTCTAGAACTAGTTCCCCTTCTTTAATGGACCCAATCTCTCAAACACGGAAGTCCTCACAGTTGATTTTCCTAGTCGATCAAAGACAGAAGGCGTGTTAGAAATGGCAGATTCATCTTCTACAGTGATATAATTATTGCTCGCCCTTCTTATGGAGATGTGCACTGGTGACGGTTGCTTTTATACCAAACCTTCACGTGGTTGCCTCGTCGCATCTTCTGATGGGAGCTTTCCTAACTTTGACAGCTCATTGGGATTGTATCTAGCTTTTGCAAAGAGCTTGTAAGCATTAGGATCAAAACCTTCATCTGTTTGCTTTGTAGGGAGTGCCACATTCTGCAAACGATTTTGGGCTACAAACCCTACAAGTCTCTTTGAGGACAACTTTACTTCCTCAATTTGTTTTACCGGAAGAGTTAACTCCTTTAGCATGGTAGTTTGGAGATTAGATGATTCACCTTCATCTTTCTTCTTTTTAGGGACGTATTGGAGCGGAGGAGTTACTTTCTTGCCGTGAGACACAATGTTCCCTTTATGAAACTTATTTGGGTTGAGGCGTACCTTCTCAGCAACAACTTTGGTTTTGTCAGCAACCACCTCGGCTCTCTTAGTCGTGGACTCATCATCCTTATCATACATGACATCATCAACTTTTAGCTCCTTCGTAATGCGGTTCTTTAAGTAGAACTTTGTATCAGCGAAGTGTGACTCAGCCTCGGTGAATGGCTCGTAATCAACAATTATCTTCTTCTCAACTTCACCTTCATAGTATTTCAAACATTGATGGTACGTAGATGGAACCACTTTATTCTCATGTATCCAAGGCCTTCCAAGCAAGGCGTTGTATGAAGTCTTTGCATCGATCACATGCAGCCATGCACTTGATTGCTCTTTGCCCCCCTTGGTTGAATCCTTGTATCATCACACGACTTTCTCAGAGTTCTTTCATGGGAAAACCAAGTACTTTCATAGTTCAAATTGGCAAGATATTCACTGAGGATCCTTCATCAACCACAATTCGATTTACCCTTTCATCATGCATATATCCAACCAGGTACAATGGGCGGTTATGAAGAGTCTTACCTAGCAGAAGATCGTCATTTGTGAACGTGACGTTTTCCTCACAAGCATTAACTTCTTGAGGAGTGGACTCGATGTGATTTTCCGAAGATGTTGCCAACGGTAGGTCATCACTCTTTTCTTTCCCTTCGTCAGCATGGCAACAAGAGGCATCGATACCTCCATGGGAAATCTTCATCATAAACCAACTTGGTAAAAACTCCTCCAAGGTCACTGGATTTCATGGCTTTTGGGAGTGGTGCACCTCCACTTTTGCTTTCAATAAGTGCTTAACCGGATTCCATCTCCTTAGTCTTTTTATAATCATTTACCTTGTTAGTTACTCTACTGATCCCTTTCGTGGGCTTCTTCTGTGGTGCCTACGACTAGTCACCAACGTCCAACCTTCATCATTATCAGGTTGATTGACTTCAGATTTGTCGTTCTCCAGTAATTCTTCATCTTTACTTTCTTTAAAACCACATAATTCATCCGGACTGAATGAGCCAAAGGTGATAGATACTTGGTTTGCGGTTACTTTCTCATATTCAAGCACGATCTTCTTTTCGCGAGCCAAGTCCATAACTTTATCCTTGAAGACAAAGCACTTCAGCAGAGGGTGGCTTACAAGTCGATGGTATTTGCAGTAATTTGGGTCATTTATTTTCCCAACTTCATTTGGTCGCTTCATCTCCGGAAGCTCAATGAGATTTAACTCGAGGTGTTCTTTAAAAATAGCTGGCATATCAGAATCCAGAAATGGGTACTCTTTCTCTTGCATTTCTTTTAGAGTCAACTTTTCACTTGGCTTATCTTGAAAAGAAGTGGATTTCATACTCTGCTTCTTGCTTACCTTCGTCGTGAACTTTACGGGTGATGTGTTGACATTCATAACGTCTTTGCTTTCAAGCTTGGGCATGAACTTGCCCCACTTCCTGACCTCTTGCTTGTCGATCCCCTAGCGAGGTTCATAGATGGACAGCCTTTCATTTTCAACTGAGGCAATGCTCAATTCCATGTCATGGGCACGAGTTGAAAGTTCTTCAAATGTGCTAGGCTTGATACCTTGCAAGATATAGCGCAATCCCCAATGCATGCCTTGGATGCACATCTCTATATCTGAAGCTTCACTAAGCCTGTATTTGCAGTTGAGGCTTGCATTCCTCCAACGATTGTTCAAGTCGATAACTGGTTCACCCTTTCGTTGACGAGTATTTGTAAGTTCTATCATACTCACAGTACGTCTCGTGCTATAAAAGCGATTGGGGAACTATTGCTCTAGTTGATCCCAACTATCAATAGATCCATCCTCGAAGCCCGTATACCAATCAAAATCCTTTTCTTTTAACGAGCAGACAAACTTCTTGACAAAGTATTCTCCATAAGTCCCAACATTGTTGTATGTCTCAACGAAGTGCGCCACATATTGCTTTGGATTTCCTTTGCCATCAAACTGTTGAAATTTTGGAGGTTTATAGCCAGCAGGAATCTTCAACATATCGATCCTTGAAGTGTATGGCTTTGCGTAGGTAAATGAGGACCTGGAAGCGACTTCATATTTGTTTTTTATAGTCCCTTCAATAAACTCCTTTAGTTGATTGATTGGAATCATCCCTTCCGAAGAGATTGAAATTTCCTTAGTGGATGCAGCTTGTCTTGGGGAATGATCAATCTCTTGAACTTCTAGGAGTTTTCCAGGTGCATGAGTGGATTCTTCTTCCATCAAGATTCACACCCTATCTGTTATCTTGTCGATTCTAGCATCTTCATTTTGCATGCACTTGGTAAAGTCGTCGATTGCTTCCGTCAAGTTTGCCAACTGCTCCTCCACAGATGAAGTGTTTGTCACCATGGCTTGCATGATTGTCGTGGACGACAGAGAATAGCATGGATTGTAACACAGATTGATCTTCGACTGTCTCACTCTATGTGGTGTAAGTGGGGAGGATCTATCACTTGAAGTATCATCATCTCCTTCGGGTGCGTTTGTGGAATATCTTGCTCCTTTTGAGGATGAAGATCCAAAAACAGAGGTTAATGCAGACGACACTTGGGGTGCTTGTTGTCCTAACGAGCTTGCTTTGCTCCTCATAACTGGTCCAAAACTTCCCAAAGTAACATCGAGGATGCTTTCCATATCAGCATAGAACCTGGAATTAACAGCCTTGGTGGAAATTGAAATAAAGTTGATTTTCTTTGAAGTCATTTCAATGTTCTTAAACTTTGGTGATTTGAAGAGTTGAAATAAGAGGTAGAGATTGTCCCACTGGGCGTGCCAGAATTTGTTTGCAATAAATTATTTGTGATACAAAATAAACTGCAACTACAATATAAATATGAAGAAACATAATTTTATTTGTAAAATAATGCGGGTACAATTATATTTGTTCCCTTGATTCATCTCTCTAGATCATTCTCCGTAATTCGAGGGTTTAACCAGCGTATTCCTCGAACGTAGGATGATGCAAACTTCCGTAGGGTGTATTTGATCTCCATCATCTATATTCCTCGAACATAGGTGATGGCTTTAATAGATCACATACATACAGTGATAGATAGTGTGAAGCGCTATATTGTTTGTCTTCAAAACAAGAGATGTAGTTGTGAACAATTCCAGCTTTATGAACTTCTCTGTGCACATGATTTGGCGGCTTTAAGGCATAGGAATGAGTCTTATGAAAACTATTGTTCTCCTTATTACACGAAGGACAACCTCTTACATACTTATGAAATACCAGTAGACATGTTGCCTGATGAAAGTAAATGGAAGGTACCACAACATATAGCTGAAGAAGTTATAATGCCACCTACCGGGAAAAGACAGGCAGGAAGACCTCAAAAACAAAGATACAAACTATATGATGAAGTAAATGCAAAGAAGTACAAGGTTTCATGTGGCAACTGCGGACTAGAAGGGCATAACAAAAGATCTTGTAAGAATGCTCCCAAGAGAAAATAAAATTTGATAAAGTCACAAGAGTTTTTGATAAATTGTGTTGAGGTGTTCTGGAGAATTATAGTTGAGGTGTAATTGTGTTGATAAATTGAATAAAGACGGTCTCCTATAATGAAATATTTCCAGCTCTTAATGCAGTTGGTTTGTATTTGTTTTGTTTAATTACTGAGTGTATTACTTTCAGCCTTTCATAACTTGATTGGATTATGTATTTTTTATATGTATAATACATAATTATAGTTAAATTGTAAAGAAATTATATGCTAACAATAATGATATCAAGTACTAACAACTTTCAACAAAAAACAAACAGATGTTTCCTATTCCAAGTAGTAGTATCTTGGATAAAATAACAAAGCATATGGTAAAACAATTGTAGCTTAAATATGCTACAAATAAACTTCAACTGACTTGTTCTTAGATAACAATTTGTCTACAACTTTACTATAAAATATCTACAACGAAAAAATCTAACTATAATTTTTCTACAGAAAAGGGCAACTAATTCTTCTTCTTCCGGACTTGTGTTCTCTCTTTCACAGTTGGTGCACCTTTTCTTCTTCCTAATCTTCCAGTCACGTCGCTCTCACTAATTGCGCTAGTATGTTGCTTCTTCCTAGCATAATCCCAAACTAGCGCTCCATGCGTCTACGATATTGATCAATATCAGAAAGGTCTTTCTTTGAAACTGTTAGCTCTTCAATGCTGATATATTCTGCAAATGCATCCACGTATACACCACAGTCACTGCAAAAACAAATTAGGGGAAAAGATTTAGCATTCATTGTAAAATAAAATCTGCTAAATAGATAGAAGGAAACCAACTTTTTCATACAGTGATCCCTCTTTTTGCTGGGGTATCTCACCAACCAACCACTAAATTTCAAGAGGGTCAGTAACACCTTTTTTGATCTATGCCTTTGTGTTCTTGTAGTTGATGTCTGGACACTTTCCATAGAAGTCGGTGCATGACAAGTAGAGGAGGATCATAACAGCAACTTGTTGACAATAGATTCAACAAGGTTGTGATTTCGTGAAGAGACCATAGAATCATAAACATATAGAACACTATCGGTAATGTCAAACACAACCAACAACCAATGAAATTTCTCCACAATGTTTATGGGCATAATCACAAAAACAACTTGATCCCATGCAATATTTGTGAGTAACCTATACCCCAATATGTATTCTAATACAACGTCATGGGGTTTGACAATAGCTAGCTTCTTTTCGGCAGGAGCATTGATGTACCTCTAATAAATTTATTCAATTCTAGTCTTGAACATACAATCAGTGGTTGTAAACCGTATCTTGTTTTGAGGACCATACTTTCCTCTCTTTCTCAAATAGTATAAAATAACTCCAATGTGCTGCATAAAAATAAATTTCATTAGTTCTCATGCTTCCTACAATTTAACTACAGTATATCTACAAAGAAACTACAAAATCTGGAGATGACAGAATAATACAGCTAGTCATTAAATTCTGACAAGGTGTGTGTTTACCGAGTCATTGAGGACTTGCCCGGGATGTGCTAAAGTATAAAACCACTTCTTTTATCAACTTTCTCCACTCCAAGATCATACCACGGCTTAAGATGGTTATCTTTTACAGAATAAGGTGCCTTTCTCCTATTTAAACACATAGCAATTACAATAAATATGTAAATTCAAGTGGAAATCCAAAAGATGAATGCAATCGAAATATAAAGAAGTTGTATAAACTAACCTCTTTGAAACTGTATCGGTACCAAGGTACAACCACTTGTTGAATTATTCCAACAAGTCAAGATCAACATCTTCGCCAATAACCCCAGTAAATGGATGCTTGATGAGGAAAATTGAAGGTCCAATAGAAGTTCTCCCACCATAACTGTAAAAAGGGAGAAAGGGGATCGGGCATGCTTTCCAGGCTGCCTTATTCTTCCTTGATGCACTGGGGTTATTTCATCTTCATTAAGCTCGTCAAACTTAACAATCTGGGAGAAGTTCTCTGGAAGCTCAAAATCATCAAGTGTAACTTCCCCTTTCTCAGATCTGGAATCGTTGTCCAAATCACCTACATTAACGTAGTCGGTTGGTTCACCTCCTTCTTCACAACAATCATCTCATTCTTGTATAAGATTCTCTTCCTGAATGGGAGATTGCATTTTTGTCTCCTTCTCCTCATTCTTTTGTTCTCCTGGAATGCTTATTGTAGCTTCCTATTTTGGAGATTTTGCAGGCATAACTTCCTTCACTATTACAGTAAATATGTTTAAGTTAATCAAATTGTAGATAATTTGTACTAAACACTAAAATCACTACATACAAATTGTAGTTTAAATGTAGTAAATTTGTTGAAATATTGTCCTGCATCTGATATGCAAAATGTATTGTGAAATGTGATGATAACATGTACTAAATCATACATGCATTCTCTTCATCAAATTCCCCTTCAAATTANATATATATATATATGTAGATATATTGTAGGCATAATGTAGATATATTGTTGATATATGTAGATATATTGTTGATATATGTAGATATATTGTAGATACATGTTTTACTACTGCTGGTATGCACTGGTTTATCATTATTGCCCGGAAAGTGTTGATTGTTCTTTTCTTTTGAATGCTCATCATTTTTTGTAGAACTCTCAGCAAACTGCAGGCATTTAATTTGTTAGGCTATATACTTTATGAACGATAATATAAACTTAGACGTGATAAATATTGTTGTGTAAAATGAATATATGTCAACTGAAACCTTGGCATCAATGTTATCCTTTTAACTATTTATCGCATGTAAAACAGCCTTGATTGAGTCATTAAGTAGCAGTTGAATGCTACCTAGTTCTTCAAAAACATCTTTCTTAAAATATCCAAGATCTGAACCAACCTACATATTAAAATATAGAGAGTTAACGAAATAATTTGCATAACATAAATTAAAGAAACCATCTAGGATTATGTATATATGTTACCTTGTCAACGTCTTTTCTTAATTTTTTTATTTGTTTCAGAATATTTTTCTTGTCATCTATTCCAATTGCATTGCATGCTTATATCCGGATCGAGATGCAGCATCTATCGGATGCTAGGACTTGGTTTCAACTTTTTCAAGGATGTATTCAACTTTATCTGGTAAATTAATTCTTAAAAGCTCTTCGGGTGCTTCAACTATGTTGGGGAACTGAGTGAAAGAAAAGAAATGAGAGTGACTTAAACATAATATGTATAAAAGTTATAGATAATTTGTATTAGATTGTCTGCGCATAAGTGAAAACCATTTACCTTGATCCATGTTGGTTTGATCATTCTATCTTCAATTGCAGATAACCATATCTTGTCCTTACTAGCTGACCAGCTAAGTATGCGAGGGAAAGAATTAGCAATCCTTGTAGCTATATCAGTGTTGACGGTAGAGCAACACTCATACAACCATATTTGCATAGCTAGTGCAAAGCCTCAAATGACATAAAAATGAACAAAGTGGTTGAGCTTGTGCCTAACAGACTGAAGCAATTGTGTATAAGATTCACTACTTCATGCGTATTTCGCATACTGTCCCGAGTCCACCAAATAGAACCTAAAATGGTCTATCAACCCTGCATTGTCTTTTTCTGAAGGACAGAGGAAGAATCCTATGAGATATAGAATACACAACTTGACTTCATCCTCGTCGTTCACCCAACTATGGCTGGTTACAATTTGTTTTAAGTATGACTTCTCAACCTTTTCCTTGTTTGAAAAATATCTTCTCATTATTTTACTGTCATACGTAGGTGTGTAACCAAAGTCTGTCATTTCCGTAAAACATCTCAGACCACTAATCAGGGCAAACTCTCTCAAACCAAAATTCAGCCTCTGACCCTTTATCTCTACTGAAAAAAAGTTGGAACTAGATGCATTCAATTCATACTTCAGGAGAAGATGAATTGCTTGATTTTGCATACATATTCTGGGCAAGGAAAGCAAATAACCAAAACATGTCTTCTTAAAAAGCTTTAAACCATTTTCAGACAGTAAATCCTTGATTTGGCCAGGAATAGTGGGGCCGGGATAATGTTTGAAACCTAATGATCCAATAATCAACATTAGGAGGTGCAAAAAATGGTCCATTCTGCAGCAAAAGGAAAAGAAAGTTATTAAAACAAGGCTCAAAACTAGAAAACAAAATAAATACATTTACAATACAAATTATCTATAATCAGATAAACAGAGTCAAAAACAGAAAACAAAATAACTACAATTATATTACAATTTATCTGCAATCTTTAAAACAGAGTCAAAATTAGGCAAAACGTTTATATAACAATGTATCTACAATCAGAAACCATAAATCTACACAATGTAGATAAATTTTCTACAACTACAAAAACAAAAATTATGTTGATTCATAAGAATGACAACAAAGTGTTTTAGCTTTAAAAAAAATATATTGATGAAACTACTAAATTTTTACCTTCACCAAAGACTGTTGGGGAATAGTTTTAAAAGATTTTTGAACTTTATTCTTTTTTGAAGGTTTTACATTAGGAGACACTCTAACGTTTTTTGCAACTTTAATGACAGCTTCTTCTTCGACGAAATCATCATCGAAATCAATCTCGTTGCCTTTCCTTTTTGCAGATTTGACAGGTATCGATGATTCACCAGCATCAATATCGTGCTTTTGTTTTGTACGAGCTTCTTCCCTAGCTTCACGAGGGGAAAGCCTAGGCTTGTTCTCTTCTTTTGCATGAGCTGACTTTGAAACCTTTTTGGGTGAATTCTCTGAGAAAACACACAAATCAAATGTAGGAATATCGGCTCATTTATCTTTTTTAGGGCTGATCTTTGAAGTTATTTTCTTCTTCATTGAAAATCAAGAAAAGCACAGGCGTTAATGGAGGTGATATTTTGAAGAAGGGAGTATATATTTAGAATGCTTTTTGAATAAGAGAGGAAATAGGCGTTAATGGAGGGATTCTGAAGTTTGTGGAGAGAGAATCGTGTTTGAGTGCAAGATACGTGG